AGTTGTTCGCCACGACATTACAGGGGTGATGAGGAGAATTTTCTTCGGCTTTTGTCATTAGTAGACATTTGATTCGTGCCCTCAGTTTAGGACGTTGGGCAATCGTTATCCTCACATATGTCCCTCAACCCTTTTGGCCATTGAACTTTGTCTCGAGGAGCCCCCAGAATGGAGAGCACTACTCCGTTCAAGACCATAATCAGCATAAGCTGCCACGCCTGAGCCCATGCTGCAGTGGAGAACGCTTTGGAGGAACTGAACAATACTACAGCAGAAAACTTGCCTGACACCATGTTTCTTTCATATGATCCGGTTCAACATATACTCTAACTAACTGACAATGCGACGAGTTGAGTATATGTGTTCTTAAAAATCGCACCAACAGTACCAACGTCTTCTTAGGGGGCAGTTCTTCCACAACAGTTTCATTCCATGGATGTGCACGAGCCCAGTTGCATGCATAGTCGAAAAGGCTCGGCAAATCATATGGATCGCCAGAAGTGCGACTTGGGTGTGTCACGCAGAACTGGTGTTCTGTGGAGTATCTCGTCTGCATGCTCTGCATCACGTGCAGACATTTCGCCGAGAAGAACGAAATGGCGAATCCGAGTCCACTTGGCGATAATGCGTCGTATTCTGCGTCCAATATACGGGCCATTTGCATCTCCGAAGATGTGTGTGTGTCTGCGACATGATTGTGGCTACGCGAGCGAGCTTGAACACACAGTCGAATATGAGGCCGTCGATTGGGGAATTCCGCATTCCTGATATCTCATGCCACGTCATATTCGTGGAACAAGGAAGCCGTTGTCCATCATTGATTGAAAGTCCTCCTGGACAAATGAAATCAACGTGGAGCGGGTTCATTTTCGTGATCGAAGCCTCTCTGAAAATAAACTGATTGCGAACCATGTTGCAGTGGTTTGACGTCAACTTGCTTCTTCGACCACGTCGGCCACGGAATCCTTTCGTTCCAAGGGGAGTATCGTCAATCATGGGTGGTCATTTTATCAAATGATCCCACTGTACTCTTATTGGTTCCTTGTTTTGGCCTATCAAAGTCACTTGAGTCATGAGTTTGCGCTACTCTCCATTACTCTATACGGACCCGACCAACAAACCGTGAACCGTTTGTCGCACTGCTCCTTCATCTTCTTCCGGTATTCCTCTGAGTCAGAAATAACACATTCACGCGCAAGCTTTAACCCTAATAATAACTCAGTTTCAAAGTGGTCATAGTCCACCGTGTAAACTGACAGGTGCTCTCTAGGTATGACTTGTGATGGGTACTTGGGGTCCTGTCCATAGAGAAGAAAATGGGGACTTCTCCCCAGTTGCTTCATGCGGGCATGCGTTGTACGCATAAACGACA